CAATAGAACGGTAACTCCTTCCCAGCTTGTGGGTGGGTTCTGTTCTGGGTAGGCAAAGAGGTGCTGTTTGACTGCCAAAATTGGGCTCCTCCGATGGACAGATCTACCAAATATATAAAGTGAAGCCAAAGCCATCTTCTGTTAGAGATTTCCCTTTACCTCATGTTCCAAAGCCATAACAGGAAGTGAGAGGGAATCCCACCAATTTGATGGAAATTTCTGTTGAGATCAGGGTCTCACGAACTAGTGTCCCATTGAAAGGGTTTCTCCTCTATTCCTGTTGTGGTGACGGCCCCAAATGTAAGAGTTTCTTTCACTCTCCGTGATACCGGGTATACAAACAGGTATTCTAATCCTCCTCCATTCTGGGTGGAGAGGCAGATGGCGTGAGTGCAAAACGTAAATAATTTTTCGGTTTGGTTCTACTTTAACCACTTCAGGAACATAGGAGATCCATGTACGTCTTGGTCTTGAAGTGGTTATAGCAAAATCATGGTTTCTTAATTTGGGAAGGCGAGTTGGAACAGATCAGGGAGCGTCTGTTTCCTAATCTGCTCTATGATTACTGAGGCAGGAAGAGCTGTACTCAGTGCTTCCTGCTTCAGAGTTGTCACAAGCTCAGCTGAAATGCCAGTGAAGCAGGTGATCAAGCACAGTTCTGTGCTTGATTGTCTGCAGTGGAGGACAAGGGAGACATCAAGAGTCTAACAGACCCCTGATATCTCCATAAAGAGAACTTGTCACCTGCCAATGCAATCGCAAAAGGAGCTTGTGAGAGCAATAAAGTTAAAGCCCAACTGAATTCAAAAATCATATTTCCCACTCCTCCCTCAAACCAACCTCTAACCCATCCTAGTAACCATCTACTTAAGTTCCCCTTTTGGGGCTCCTCACCAGCGCCATGGTGCCTGAGACCATTGATCATCTCCTGGATCCTCAGAGGACTGTGGCCAATTGATATCCAGTACGAAATGTCCATGTCACGCAGGCACTGATGTGGACACTCGAAGGACCCAAGCTTACAAAAAAAAAATGGCTTTTAGATGCAGATTTTTTTTTCTTAATCTAGCGTTTAGATAGCGGGGGTGTGACATTTATCATACAGTTGGGCTTTAAGCGGAAAATGTACAGTGTTCAAGGAAAGAATAATAAAATAAAAACAAAAAAAAATGTACAATTATTAAATTATGAATAAAAATATGTATTCATGTAACTCCAATATTCATTTAATACATAGCCAAACATTCCATCCACACTGCATCTAGAGCTGCAGCTAACGATTATTTTCAAAATCGATTAGTTAGGCGATTATTACGTTCGATTAATCGGATAAACTATAAAATACAGTTTAAAAAATGGCTCCAGTGATAGGACTACTAGTTTGTATTGAGGTTGTAGTCCATCACAGGAGCAAGCTTGGAGCGGTGGAAGTAAAGAAAAAAAGATAGTGTGGTGTGCAATATAGTGAAATGGAAAGTGTAAAATTATACAGCAAT